TTTAAATGCAGTCAAAAGTTTTTTTAAGTCTGAAATTAGAGAAAATGATGTTACAGTTTTTATGGGATTTGTTATAAATACTCATTCTCATGCATTAAATCACATCACAGGAATTCGTTGAACAGCTAAAAAAATTAGGTCCTAGCGTTTTCCTCATAACAGCCATTGCATATAATAAGAATCGTTCCGGAATAGAAGCAGAAATGCACATTGTTTGATATGAATGCTTGTTAACTGCTTTGTGATTGTTAGTTCCGATTGATAAATAAGATATTTAAGCATCTTCATAGCAATGAATTACAAAATTTGTAAGTGAGCCCAAAGGACTGAGCATAACGAGGGAAACATTTTACAGAACAACATTAGGAATCCGTTCACAAGCAAAAAAGAATGGCATTATTTTCAAAACTAAGTTCCTCTACCATTTTATATTAATAAAATACAAAGTCACGAAAATTACATTTATAAACATAACAAATTTTTTTGCTCAATTATTTTTGATTTCTTCAATGTCTAAATGGCTTTGTGCTTAAAGAGGATTATTGTATTAAGTTCTGAGAAAAATATCTAGATTTGATTCAAAGGATTTCATAAAAAATTCTGCAACATTCCTGATTGTCTTTACAGAAGCTGTATTGCGCATTTGCTTTGTTGTTTTTGCATTTGTTGTTTATTCAATTTTTTCTGGTCAACAATATATTGCAAAAACAGATAAAGAAACAAAGAATATCTGCATTCAAATGGGGAAAAATGTTGTTTCCAGTGATTTATTTTTAGAGGATCTAAAACTGCCATTCAAGTTTCTTGAATTTCAATTTCTTTTATTAACTTTTGCGAGCTCCATCTAATGATAGTTTCCATCACTATCATGTTCAAACATTAGCACTAGCCAAATAGAAGTAATATGTGAGATGAGGCTTTATATCTCAATCTTGATGGTTCTTTACTCCTAGAGGTCTTCAACAAGGAACTAAAAGGATAGTTTCATTAACAAAGCTTTCATTATTAGTGGAAAGAATAATTATTCTGTAATTCCTCACTTAGAATTATTGTAAAACACTTAGAATTCAGTCATATAATCTGAAACATGACAGAAAATCTTGCAATTATGTTGTCCTAAAGTGCATAAGCGCAGTCAGCACATATTGCTTTGTCATTTCCATAAGTAAGAGATTTAAAATTTTCCTTATGTTAGAATGAAGTTTAAGTGGTATATATAAGAATTTAAATGATGCATATCGGCAATCTTCCTAATACAATTGAAAATCGGGAACAACTAATATCGAAGTTTCAATTTAGATATCGCAATGTAGTTTGCACATTCGGAAAGCGCATTTTATAGAAGTAGAGTGATGACACGAAACAAAGCTTAAAATGAACTTCGAAAAATTTGCGTATTATTTTTAAGCTTCGCACAAAAATTTCTAATAAAACTTCATGAGCTGTTATTGCGATAACAATGTTGTGAAAAAAATTGATTTTTAAATTGCATTTTGCAGTAGTGTTATCACTACAAAATATCCTCTAATCATTAAAAATTTTTACATAGAAATTATTCTTTCAAAAACAACATTCTTTCAAAAATATTTTTTATTCGGTTTCAGTTGATTCGTATTCTTTTTTCTGGCATTGGGATATTAATGTTATGTTTGTTAATTTCATTACTGTTGAACTGAGCCATCATTTTTAACTGAGTGTTCAAAACTTGAAAGATTCTGGAAAATGTCGAAATTACCGTTATCTGAGCTTTACATTTGAATGAATTCCCATCAACTTTTATTAACGTGACAATTTGAATGTATTTTAAAAATCAAATCTGTTTGTGCGAGAATGTTTGCGTAACCATTTGATGATTATTTGAAATGTTTATCCAGTCAGTTCACAAATTCCAAATTTTAATTTTCCCTATGGACGTTTTGCTGCACGGACTTCTTCCTCTTTTCGATAATGTTCTTTGAAAATAATTTTTCGATTGTTCTGTTGAATATTCATTATTATTAAAGTTTAGGTTCAAGGATGAGTAGAGGTGGACTAGAGGTGGACTTCAAATTGGATATGATGCATGCGTCGCTTATCTGAAAGAATAAGTAGAAGTTACAGCGCAAATCGCATAAAAGTTGCAACGAATTAATCTCATTTAAGCAAAGTTACATCTCTGCTGTGCAAACAAGATTTCAACGAATATAATGGTTGAGAGAGGCAGTAAAGGCATATTTAGATAGTGACTGGAATTTGATAATAATTTTACTCATTTTTATCTCAATTATTGGAAAAATAAGTCTATCAATTGCTATTTTTCATTTAAAATAGGTAGCCGACAAAATTATTCACATAGTACCAACAATTATCACTTATTTTCCATTTTTTTCTTGGTGAAGTTTTTGAAATGGTTTTTTCAATCTTATCATGGTTTTTGAGAATCACAAATCAACCTGGTGCTAAAATGTGTTGTTTGAAAATTTGTAGCAAAAAATAAACAACATTTTTTAAACTGTTAAGATTGCTTAATGAATGATTGGCACCTTTTTAAGCTTTTAAATTATGGACACATTCGGAGCGTTTAACCATAACGTTCCGAATGTATCAATAATCCTCCATAATTTCAGTGGTCGAATCCCCGTTTCAGGAGAGCGATATGATATGAAATAGTTCCCGATCTTTTGCCATATTTATTCTCAACGCAGTCCACTACTTCGCCACTGGGGAGAATTAATTATCAAAAATCGCTGAATCACTACTGTCATATACTTTTATACATTTTTCTACTCATTTTACGTTATCACGTGTATTTTTCCATATCTATTCATGTCTTTCGATGGGATTATACGAATTGTTTCAAATGTGTGAATTTGAGCCTTGTGCAGTTTTGGAATTTCCAGTTAACTGCTTAAGAGCTTCGGAATCACAGCGATAATCAAAAACATGTTGTTTATTCGGATACGCACATACAGTTTTTAAATTTGTAGAATATAGTGGACACTGAGTACAGGGTAGAAATTATTCAGCAAGTGATGTCGTATCAAAACTTCAAAAATGTCACTAAAAAATGATAAATTGATAATTAAAAGTGCGAATCCTGTTTCTGACTGGTCATGCTTAAAGGCTTGCCGACCAAAAGTGAGCCATTCTAAACTGACTTAAGTATGGATTGGAAATATATCTTACACTTGCATCTGAAATTTAGAAACAGTACCATCTATCGAACAAGTGAAGAGAAGAAATCTTACGTCAACTATGCTATTTCGGCGTTGTTTTTGTTCGATTAGTAATATCTGTGACGAGCTTTGTTTGCCAGCGTACACTAACTTGTATGCTTGAAATTTTTTCAGTCTGGAACATTATTTCAAAGTGTTGCCAAGAAGTTCGTATTAGTTTCCCTGCATAGGTTTCCTCCACACAGAACTACCTAGTTCAACATCACGTTAAATGTTGAACTGGTATAGTTCTGTACGGAGAGGAGTTGATTGTTATCTTTCATTTTATCACGATAGCTGAAGTTGTTTATGAACTTCTGATCATGTGGAAGTTATTTAAAATGATAAAATCTGCGTAGTCTAACAACATTGATTCACTTATGATGCGGAAGTGAAAATTTTTGGCATACTTCTTAACTTTCTCAACATTAAAAATTTAGGAGGTTATTTGGATGAAGTGTACATGTACATACGGTTTTCCCATTACATGGAGCACAGCATATGATGATAAAGTGATCCCTTCGTACGTGAAACAAAAAGTCAATTTCCATTCTTGTCATGTCTGCTTAACAACACATATAATATCCTTGCTTAACAATAACCGCTGTTGCTTTGGTATCACAGCGAATGACTGTCAATAATATTTGGCAAGAGATACTGACTTCTTCCTAAAGGTTCGACGTTATATAGCATTTCGACAACATCAATTTTTACATGGACGGAATACATGGTGGTAAAAAATTGTTTCTTCTTCGTCCTGCTCTGCTATATGTTTATTTTCGAAAATTTAGACAGTTCTAATTCTATGAGCTATGTGTAAAACATTTTATGGATTGCTAGAAGCAATCTATCCATTTATTTGCTTTTTTATTCCACTAGCTTGAAATCCGAATTTCCGGACCAACTTCTTCCGAAGATGGTATGTTGTTTCTTGCCTTTATCCAGATACTATAATTGTACTTCACTACTGGATATAAGATTGGCAGATCATGTGAAGCCACGAAAAGACATATGGTAATGTTTTCCACTGTTAACAAATCATCGGTGCTAATCAATGCTGCCATTTGCTGATCTGAGCCAAGATACAGTTAGCAAATCATCTACTTCTTTTAACTGTTAGAAGAGCACGTTCCAGATTTTATGAAGGCATTAGCTTCACTAAGATGAATACCAATCAGTTATCTTGTTTTCATCAGCAACATAACCAAAAGATATAAAATCTGAATATTTCGCTGCAATAATGCCGTAATTGTCGCAATAAATTTCTCAATAGTGGCTGAGAAACGCAAAGAAGTCAAACGTGGAAAAGTCATTTCAAATCAATGAAGGAGACAGTCATGTTTGGCTTTCTGTCTAAAATCAAATAAATTTGGGCGTTATAAAATACCACTTCAGGAATCTCCACCATCCCAGCACTCTACAAACTGCACCTCAAAAAATGACATTTAAATTCTGTGCACTCTGTTTCCGACATTGGTGTTGGGTAGAATGGTTAGAGGATATTTTCATCCGGGAAATGAGGTCAATTTGTAGTCGGATGTGGGGTTTCTCAGTTGATTTTCAGATTTCATCGCATATTTTGAACGATGTAATAATACTTCTAATTTTTTCAGAAAGAATGAGATAGCGACAGTTCGATTAAAGTTGTCGTGGAGCTGCCTATAGTTATTATAGAAAGAAATGAAGTGATCTCTCTGCGAAACCATTGGCAACATCAATTTTATCTAACAATTAAGTGATTTTTTATTCCAAGCTGTATTGGTACGCCATTGATCAGTGCTATGTTCTGAAGTGATCTTTCAAACCATGGTGGTGACTCTATTTACTTCATCTAGTATTTACGATCATTCTGATTTTCAGGCGAACTGGTTCGTTCCTCTCGTGCTACTTTCAACTTTCGTAATCTCTACCGTTACCGGCAATACAGAATGTGTTCGACAACCGGTAAGTTGGTTTATTATCAGAATCGAAGTGCTTCCGGAATGTCATCATTGAACTTATTAAATTAATTATACTTTTTCCATACTTCGCTTGCATCATTCGAAATTGTATTGATTTGTTATAAATATATACTTTTCTCATTATTGTTGTGTATCAAGTGTTTTGATAGTTCTTTAATTAAATTTTTATATTTTAAGAACGCTCTAGTAACCGTTTTAGTAAAAAGTTAACATATATCGCAATGAATGCAGGATGAATTCATTAATTGTGCAAACAGTTCATTTGGATTTACAAAGAGCTCGTTGTAACATTGTTTTTTATGTTTTCACATAACACATCCTTAAATTTTTTAAGATAATAATTCTCATGATTTAAGTAATTATGATGACAAGATGGGTTCTACGATGGCTAATAACAGCGACGGACATTTCAATGTAGAAGATTGCGCGGGTAATCGTGAATGGATTCCAAGAATTAATAATCAACCAGAAACAAGTGAATTGTTGGTTTTCAAGATTGTTCAAGATTCAAGATTCAAGAAGTGTTGATTTTTAAGGCATTCTTGAATGTCTTAACCAATTTGGATTGGTTCATTAATGTTATAGTGTGTTTGAAGCAAGTAAAACTTTTCTCCAACTATGCTTTTTTTAACAGTATTACATTTTGAACAGTTGCAACCAAATTTCATGTTTTCGATAGAAATAATCTTGCTCCTATTATTTTCTTAATTCCCTCACTGAGAAGTGTATTTGTATATTCTTCTTGTTTTCATTCATTTATTAATTTGCGTGACTTTAATATATCTTATAAATGAATACCTTGATTTTCATTCCTGTACTGTTTGAAAGTCTTGTGCTTCAATAAATACTTTTTATGGCTTTTCTCCATCCTTTTTCTTATTATACCAATCTTTAATGGCTAAATCTCCTTTCTCATGGATTCTTGCTTATCAACTATAAAATGACTATATCGATATATTTTTCAGCGTTTGCGAGAATTTCGATGGCAAACTTTTGTCAGTGCTTGTTTAAAAGCTATGGTTTTCGACTTCAATTAACTTTTTGAAAGTCGATATAGTTGGTGAGAGTTCCAAAAATGATTTGGCAGAGCTGAAGTTCTTTCATTTTGCGTTTTGAACATATCAACTATAGATTTTCTGTTTTCCACTTTTGGATAAGAAGACTGGACGTAGTAGCTCGCTGTGCGAAGGGGAGTTTCCATTCATAAGATAGTACGTCATGAGATTTAAGTGGTGCTCTGTGATTCTGCTGCCGATAAAGATTTTTTTGTTGCAGTTATAATATCGGTGGTTTCTTTCATCGCTGCAGACAAGCTTGTGCAATGCAAAGGTTGTTCTTTTTGCTCATTGTTTTATTTCACCATGTTATAAGGCTTTAATGGGTCACATCGCCAACCCCTCATGAGTTATGAGATACAATTTGGTTTTCATTCACATCAATTTTGCTCTCTTAAATCCTCAACTTCAGGCTGAGAAGTCAATGTATCATGTGCTGACTTAGTTTTTCAGTCCAGTTCGTTTCCTGTTATATTATAAAATACGCTCTAAAAGTCCTGAACTGCGATTACAGTTGAGCAAATTCGTGGTTCTCAGTGACCCAGGGATGCTGATGATCTGACAACATTATTTTATCGAAAAGCGAAGATGTTTGTTTTGCAACATAAATATATATTAGTGCAGCACGTATATAGTTTATGAATTTCAGACATTTGATACCTCTAAATGCTTGGGTTATGTTGCTATTGATGCGACTTGCTTACGCAGGACATAAGTGTGTTTGGATACATGGCACTGTACATTGTCATAAGGATCCTGCAAAAAATTTGAATGTTGAAGTACGAGTTTATGATCGAGATGGGCTATCAATTGCCAAGATTATTGATCCAGATGATTTAATGGGGTTAGTTGATAGATTTTTTGAAGCTGAAAATTCTTCACAATATTCGTTCAAGCAACTATGATACTGATATTTGCGTGGCAAAAACCAACGACTCATCATCACGTTTCATTCTCGAATCTTTTTTTGGCTTATTTTGCTTGGTCGACTAGTTTTGCTATACTTTCACCACAACTTTGAAGCTGTCAGTGTGCTTCGGTTATAGTCATTAACACTTTGAACCACTTCAAAACTTGGGCTTTATCTAATAGCATTTGAGGGTAGATGACTTTCAAGCACTTGATTAAGTAATATTATGAATTAATCTAATTGTGAGAATTTTACAATAGAGATGAACAAATTTGTGCAATAGGTCATGTAAGCAAGGCTTCACAGAGCTTCGTCTGCTTGTTTGCAGTTTTGGTTAGTGCAAATCAGGTGAAGTAAAGCAGTCTGTGATGTCACTAGGGAGGGTGTGCTGCTGTTAACTATCGACATGCAAATTATGCGGGAATTGAATTGGTGGCGGTTGTGATATCGATTTTGGGGTCTTGTTTCATTTCTCTCAATAAGACCTGTTGCTCTTGCATAGATTTTCTAAACCGTATTTACGTTTTCATTTCCATTTAGTTTTTAGTATGGAGAAGTGCCATTGCATTTTACAATAACTCAAGAAATCTTTAGTCTCTGTGTTTCCAGGATCCACATACACTGATTCTTGGTAATGTTTACTGGTTTTCATCTCCATTTCCTCACTGAAACAGTTGCAGTATTTCAGCCTTGGAAATTTTATTACTGTATTTAAGTCGTAAATATATTGTAAGCATCGTGTATTTCTGTAGAAATAGACTTGTTTTTGTCTAGATCCTTTCCATTAATTGTACCGCCTAACCGCATGCTCCTGCTTGTAAAAATGATTAATGATTATTTTTGTAAATTCTTATAATGTTAGCTTTTGGAACTCATATGTGGTCATGTTGATTGTTTCGTTCTACTAATAAGTTTTAAATTTGAACTTATCTGTTATTTCGCATATCATTCTTAGCAAAATTGGCTCGAATACTTAGATGTTGTCAGCCATTTCTAAAGTGCTTTCTATAGCTCCAATTTTTTATAAATGATCCTTTTTTTGATTTAAATATGAAAATCAACTTGAAAAGAGATGAAAACTGAACTAGGAAAAAAAAGACTATGAAAAAGATGAATAAGCCTACGATATTTCTCATATGCTGAAAAGAAAATTTATCGTGTAATGGAATCGGATGAAACGATATGATTGTTGATATCATAATTCTCTGCGCTGGCGTTATAAGTCACGTCTTGCAGAGGAGTGAGACATTCCTTGATATCTGTGCAGGGAAAGTGACTTGTTTTTTCTTTTAATTGACTTTTAACTTGTTTTTTACTTTTTTTTAAACTTTTAACTTTTAAAATGACTTTTAACTTGTTTTGTGACGTCTAATTGTCAACTGTATCTTTAATATATTAAAAAGTATAAGGCCTTTCGATCCTTGAAAATGCTGCAATACCTTTTTACGCTGTTCGCAGTGTTCACCGTAACAAATACATAAATCTTCAAATAAAGTTTGTTTTGTGTGAATTCATGATAATACTGCAGTTTGAATTATGAACGCAAAAAATTTGCATTACATTTTCTTTTCCTTAACAAGTTTAATTTTGCTTATTTAGAGTGACATTCACAAACGAAGACGGCTCGTTCCAGTTAGATGGATGCGGCGCAGACATTGATTGGATTCCTGGTATTCCGAACTATCCGGAACCGTATTTACAAATATTGCATTATTGCAACAGCCAGACAGGTGAAATTCTAAGGCTTCCACCCTTCAGAACTTTTGTGCCAAAGACGCATGAAATTGGCACAATTAATCTCGACTTGCCGATTCAAGTTTCACCTGCAGAAAATAATGCTAAGTTGATGAATTAGCTTTATAGGTTTATATGTAACGCTCATAAAATTTATAACGCAAATAATTGTTTTCAAATTTAGCAGCAAATGGAAATGTTACTTGTAATTCATCCATTTTAAATTGCTTTTTCTCTTTTGTTTAGTACACTTTTAAAATGGAAGATAGTGGAATGACTTTTTTGTTCTGTTTTCCTCAGACTGATAATTATTAATTTCACATCTGTTATTTTTTACTTATATGATCTGTCGAACTGCAGCTCGTATTTTATGTCACAAACTTTTCGTTTTAGAATTTTTTGTTTCGGGTTCAAATAAAATTGGTACTTTGACTTCATTGTCATCTTTGCAAATTTCTGTTAGTAAAGAAAAAAATTCTTATTCTGACAGAATCAGGTGAAATAGCTGGAAGGATCAGGGTTCAGTTCTAGCAACACTTCTGTAAGTCCTTGTGGTAGCGACCGCTCGTTTTCTAAAAACTTTGAAAAGAGAATGTAGTTAATGTACTCTATTTACCTGATGTTAGAATAGCCTTTCAGTTTCAGTCCTGTAATAACAAACAGGGATTGAATAACAGGAAGACTTTTTTATCACTTAGCGGTGCTGCATTTCACGATATGATCATCATTGCATAATATTATTAGCTTTTCATTTTCCATCGCTGTTATATTGATATAGCTGTGATGCTTTTTCTCATATCTTTGATCGTAATCATATAATGATGTTCTTTTTCTGTCTAATCATTTATAAAGCAGTTTGTAAAGTGTAGGCTGTTCGTTTTCACTGAAGTCCCATGATCTTGATGATGATTATTGTTCATTATTTCATCACTGTGGAATGCTATTAGAAAAAGGCACCGTTTAAAGTGTCATTCAGTAGAGTCACATTTTTATGTTGAGCTTACAATAGGATGTATACTTATAAATCCTAAGTGAGGTAGTAAATCAATGCTGATTAAGATCAGGACTGACATCCTAAATAGCGAATTGATGAACAGTTCGACCACTAAGATCTTCCAAAGTTACACATTGCTGTCGGATTACCGTTAAGAAGGGGATTGACTTTTAAACACATAATCCAATTTTTTGAGTGTTGTGATTTTTCTATTGCACAGTTTTGTGTTGAACAAGAATTCATGAGAAAGTAACCAACTGACTGATACGTGGATTGCAATGGGAACCGAAATTGACATCTTTCAGAAGCAACACATCAGATTCCTCTGCATAATTGGGAAAAACTAGTAGATACTTGACAATTCGGAATGTGCGGATTATGGTGGTAGTGATCGAGAAGTGATGTTTCTTGTCTAAAACTTTGTATTTTTCATAAAATGTTATCTTGGACATATTATAGTCATCAGGTAATCGACAATTTGAGCGGTAGATGGATAGGTGAAGCGAGTGACGTGAGTTTCAAAAGGGTGTTAAGTTCTGTGCCGCATTTAAGTACTGTTAACGAGGAGTGGACTGAATTGGATGACGAGATAAATTTTTGTATTTTCGCAAAACGTGTCCCCGAAACAAAAATATATGAAGCTATGATGTTTGAGAAAGTGTCTACTACCATCGCGGAGTCTTTGCTACATTAAACACGAACTCGGGATGAGATATGAACTTATCCTTTGGTAAGGTGCTTCCTGAAACGTTATTGAATTTCAAATTTGTGCTGTCGTAACATTAGTTGTTTCGATTTGGTTTTACAGATTTGCACACTATATTTTGGATAGACTAAAAAATTTTTTTCTTCACTGGAATGCTGTGGATATGATATGTTGGATTTTTTTCATGCTGTTTAACTATATTTCACAACTTCGTTTAATTTTAGAAAAATTTGCTATTGCTAATTCTCAACCTTGAGTGATCTTTATTCCTAGTTTCATTTCTGTCTTGTGAGTTGAACGATCAAATAAGCTCTGATAAACTGATGGTCAGTTTTATATTGTATATGTAAATAAATTAAACGATGATACTATATGGTACGTACAGTTCTCGCAAATGATGTAATTAAAACTGTTCTGCCGCACCACAGATTTTGTCGAGCTTATTTTCACCCTTGTAATTGTCAAGTTCCTTTTTCTATCATAGTTATTTAATGTTTGGACCTGCTTTATTGTCCAAATTTCTGATAAAGAATGTCTCGATTTATTAGTAAATAAATAACTCCTTTCCCGTCTAGGCTGTGACATGGCAAGAAAATTTATTAGAAATGAATGTGATTCATTTGATAGGTCGCAGCTGCGGTATTCCATTTAACGATAATTGTTGGATCGAGATTTGGAGCAGAATTGTCGTTAAATGCGACAATTTATGAGTATGCAGAATATTTTGTTTGTAGAATTCTTTCGCGGAACTAATTAATTTCTAAGGTTTTTTTTTTTTAATTAAGAGGAAGTAAATGAATGTAATTATTTCAGTATACTAATAAGCAGGTTTAGCCTTTGGTTTATTGTCTGTGTGTATTTCCTAATGATGTTAAAATGGGGTACAGCAGGAAGAACATCGAGGGTAGTGCAGTAATCGGGCATTAAAACTTGTTATCAATATGCCTCTCTCATTAGAGAGGTAGTTGACATCAAGGAATGATTAGCAATTTTGACTTTGAGTTTGTTTATTTTTAAAAGTACTTTTATCAACGTTTAACGATTTGTTTTGAAGATAGGCAGGAAGAGAGGAATGTTTCAACGAGTATCATTTGATAACAGGTTTGGTAATTGGAAGTGACACTACAGCTCTTATTATCGCCTGATGTTTTCTGAAACATATGCAGCGAGTGTTTGTAGCATTATTGTTTGCTCTCTATTTACGGCATTTACCGTTATCTGAATTTTTAGACTCAATAACATCAGTTTCTATCTTCAACAGCATCAAAATGCGAATTGGACCATTTTTCGATCTGCAGGTTTGAGCTTAATCGTGTAACTTTCTTGTTTCAGTTATACCGTTGCTGGCGAAGAACTCTTGGCTTTCAAGGCGTTGTTCTCAGTTATTAATGTTAACCCTTCTAACTGAAACAATTTTACCTCCATTAGTTTTAATGGTACTATCTCATTTCTCTGAAGTATATACTCCTCTGATTCTGGCTTTCAGCCAGAAAAACAGAGCATTTTACTTTTAATATTTTTTTCATACTCTTATTTAGGGCACCCTATATTATCTAATTTGCATTTATCTTCCAATGTTTGATTCATCATCTTGCACGATTTGTTGTAATGGCTTGTGTTATCATCTCAATACATCAGAAGAATGCGCCGGTCAGAAGTTCTTTGTGTACTGTGTTAATACAGCAGTTCCGTTAGACTATATTTCTATATCTTCTTTAGTTGCTCATTTAATTTTAGATTTAAAAAAAGGAATGATATTATGAATTCTTATTTTGTCTTTCCACCTCCTGCCGATGTCCTATAGTTTCTGTGCCTAACTCACAGATTTCGTTTTTGCCTATAAAACATGATTTGATTAAAGTTTAGGATATTTGTAATGGCAAAGAGAGTAGTGGTGTAACTCGCAAACCGCTTTGACTGCACTGCTTGACCCTTTGACCTTACCCGAGATGCTATACTTAAGAATATGCAACCAACACTGAGTTCCTTCATTCACTTAGAAATATAATGCTTAAATACAAATAAAACTTCATTTTGTTGCCAATGTTTATCAAAGAAGTTTTGCATTCACTTTCTGAAATTACTGCTGAGCTGGGCTTGCTGATGCTCTCTCATTTTTTTTAAAACGATTTAAGGCTTTTGTTTAGCCATGCTGCATGTGTTTCAGCTTTTATCGAAACTGTTTAAGGACTATGGAATTGGTGCTACAAACGTAACGTTTCAACAGCATAAAATAGGACGAGAAGAACGTGCACAAGTTCTTGGACGTCATCCCGGTTTTCGGGGTTGTACTATTTGGCTTACTGGGCTGTCTGGTGCTGGCAAAACAACAGTTGCTTTTGCAGTGGAGAAAATTCTGACACAGGTTTGTTGGCGTTCTTTAATTCTGTCGATCTTCTCAAGTTTAGGGAGATCTTGCACTATTTGAATATTCTCTCAATTGTTGCATTGCAGCTTGGCATACCTGCTTACGCTTTAGATGGTGACAACGTTAGACATGGACTTTGCAAGAATCTCGGATTTTCCAAAGAAGAAAGGCGAGAAAATATCCGTCGTGTTGCTGAAGTTGCCAAATTATTCGCTGATATGGGTATTGTGGCTCTTGCTTCATTCATTAGTCCATATAAATGTGATCGTGATGATGCAAGATCTATTCATAATCAGGTAAACAACTGACGTTACTATTTCACTGCTTTGAAAGTTAGATATAGTTTGTATTTTTGATAGGATTTTTACTTCAGGATAATCTCGCTTTTTTTGAAGTATATGTGAATACACCACTGAGAATTTGTGAACTTCGCGATCCTAAAAGTAAGTTTTATCTCAACTCAGTGCTCAAAAATTAGAGTTCTCTATATATTCTTTTATTTCTGCCAAAATTTTCGGGGGTTAAATTTATAGAGAATTAAATGTGCACGAGCAGTTTATCATATTGTAGATTTGTATAAGAAGGCACGTGCCGGAGAGCTGAAAGGATTCACAGGGATTGATAGTGTCTATGAAGCACCAGAAAAACCGGATCTTATACTTGAATCAGGCACTGAATCTGAAGCTGAGTCCATTAAGAAAGTACTGGACTTTTTATTCCAAAAGGTACTAATAAAAAACGAATTTTACTTCACATGAATAAATCAAAAATCCCCTGTATGTTTTTGAAAAAAAAGTCCATTACAGAACGTTTTACCCGTAAAAGCTTATCATCGAATTTCTGGGCCACCTATACGAGAGTTATATGTTGACGAAGGATCGAAAAACAAATTACTAGAGCGCATTAACTCTATTCCAAGGGTGCATTTGACCAAAATTGATTTGGAATGGTTACAGGTTTCATTCTTTTCTTTCTCTCAGTAATAAAGATTTTATCTGCTTGAATATTTAAGTAATATCGGTCGTTAACAGTTCTGGTTTATGCAGGACATGA